AGTTGCCCAGGCAGGTCTCGAACCCGCAGGCTCAGGCAATCCACTCACCTCAGCCTCCCAAGGCGCGGGATTACAGACTGAGCCACCGAGCCCAGCTAGGATCTCCTCTTTCTTCTGCAGAAACTGGTACCCCAAGAGAGGTCTCTGGACTGGGCTCCAGAGTGCGCACTCCCAGGGACCATACCAGGTCTAAAGTACCCTGTCTCCTGGGAATTCTTTCCCACCTCCCCTCAGTCCCTGCCCGAGGGTTGAAGAGCAGCATTCACGCTTGGGAGCCAAGAAGGCTCTCTGTGCCTCGCTCCCCGGGGAACCAGAGATTCCGGACACCATGCACTTTCTGAATAGGAGAAAAATTAATGGCCCTGAACTTCGTGCTACCAGGCCCATAAGGGAAGTTTTGTGGCGATAACCTATAATAGAAACTCTGTTCAGAAAGCTGCGTGCATACGTGTGTGTGTGTGTGTGTGTGTGTGTGTGTGTGTGTGTGTGTGTGTGTGTGTATGCGTGCGCACGCGTATGTTGGTAACAGAGGCAGCTTCCAATAGCAATTCCTGAAAAAGTTCTGCTTCTCCCCTGACTCCCTGGCCCTGAGCTGAGGGCCATCAAGTTTAGAGGAGCCAGCAGCCACAGAGATGATACCCAGCAACAGCTTTCTTTGTGTCCCAGAAAGAGAAAAGGTATCTAACAGCCCCCAGTCAGTAGCTGAACTGAAACCAGAACATGAACATCCTGTATCCCAGTTCTAGCTTGAATTTGGGGATGCTCCCCTTCTCATCAGCCTGTCCCTGCTTCTCTCAGAGGGTTGTTACTACTAATTTGGAGTCAGCCCAAAATACAATGAGGAGTAAATGGACCTGAGGGACCAAGAATACCATCTCTCTGCCAGGTTCGAGAGCTCTCCTTTTTGGAATCCTGGCTACTCCCCATCTCTAGCATCTTTGGAGGCAACTGAAGTCAGACTTAAGAAGCAGTTTACGGCCGGGCTCGGTGGCTCAGTCTGTAATCTCAGCACTTTGGGAGAACGAGGCGAGTGGATTGCCTGAGCCTGCGGGTTTGAGACCAGCCTGGACAACTTGGTGAGACCTCGTCTCTACAATAAATCAAAAATAAGCCAGGCGTGGTAGCACGTGCCTGTGTAGTTCCAGCAACTTGGAAGGCTGAGGCGGAAGGATCGTTGGAGCCCAGCAGGTCGACGCTGGGATGGCCATGAGCGTGCCACTGCACTCCAGCCTGGGCGATGGAGTGAGACTCCAACTCAAAAAAAAAATGTAGTTTACTTGGCACTGAGGCACCTGGGCCTACCAATCACCTTCCTAAACCAGAGCACCTGATCTCTGCTAGAAACTCAAGAAGCCACTGCTCCAGTGGATCTTCCCCAGCCTTCAGCAACCACCAGAGTAGACACAAACACCACAATCCTACTCCTGGGCACCTGGGGCAAGTTGGCTTCCCCATTACTCCTACCTTACTGCTCCAGGGCCCAGCCTTAGTCTCACCTGTACAGCAGGTGTGACTTCCCTACCCAGACCTGCACAAGGTGGGCAGAAACCTGAGCCCTGCCAACCACCAGCTCTCCCAGGAGCTTTAGGCCCTTTTGTTGGGGTACAAGGCTTCCCCAGGAGCACTGCCACCCAGAAACCCCCTCCCAATGACTCTGATGCCTTCTTGAGGCTTTCCCACCTCCCTGGTCTTCTGACTAGCTGGAAAGGAATCTGGGTCCCAGCTGCAAGAGGAGAGCAGGCCATAGCAGAAAGCCATGGTCCTGGGTTCAAGGGTGAAACCCTGGGTTGCAGCTTCTGGTTCTCTTTCCCTGACATGAGCTGGACAAAGCTTGACTCTGCATGGGGGCTGGCAGAGAAGATGAAAGCTGGGGGTAAAATGGCTTCAGGAAGATTCAATAATAAACAAACAGGAGAAAGAACATCATGGCTGCCAGGTCTTCCTGACACAGAGTGAGGGCTGAGCAGAAGAACAGCTCTTCTTCCAGGCATTAGAGATCGTTCAGGCCAATGTTCTCACTTGACAGAAAAGGAACGGGAAAGGAAAAGGGGCTAGGTCACAGCCACCGCCAGCAGGCTGATGGTCCGGCCAGGTCAGACCAGAACCCTACAGAAGAAGCCCAAAGGATTGATTCCAATTGCAGGCACTAATACATACCTCCATGGGAACCACCTAGGGATTGAAAACATGGAAATATGCATGAGAACTGGCTCTCACTTTCAAAGAGTTTAAAATACAGCCCACGGTCTTGAAAAGTATACTACTTGCAGATACTAAAAAAAATTCGTCCGGGCTCAGTGGATCAGCCTCTAATCTCAGCACTTTGGGAGGCCGAGGCAAGTGGACTGCCTGAGCCTACAGGTCTGAGACCAGCCCGAACAACTTGGCAAGACCTCATCTCTACAATAAGTCAAAAATTAGCCAGACATGGTAGCGCGCGCCTGTAGTTCTGGCTACTTGGAAGGCTGAGGCGGAAGGATCAACAGAGCCCAGCAGGTCAACGCTGGGGTGGCCGTGAGTATGCCACTGCACTCCATCCTGGGCAACAGAGTGACAGACTCAAAAAAATAATAATTAAAAGAACCAAAAGCCGGGCTTGGTGGCTCAGCCTGTAATGCCATGCCTTTGGGAGGCTGAGGTGAGTGGATTGCCTGAGCCCGCGGGTTCGAGACCCGCCTGGGCAGCAACACCTCATCTCTACAA